CAAAAGAGTTAGCTTCGAAGAAGGTGATTTTTGCTATAAGACCGAGTAAGGCTTAAATATAAAAGCTGTCTTTATTTTCGGCGTGCTTGACCTTGAGTTTCTTTTTCGGTTTTAAAGTCTGCTTTGCTAAAAGTGCTATAAAAGCGATTAAGTTAAATGAGTTAAGGTCCCGGTAAAGTTCAAGATAAAGTTTAAAAAGAGTTAGCGAAAAAAAAAGAGTTCGAAGAGTAGAATCGAACGTACTTTCGAAAAACGAAGAAAAAAAGAGAAGAGTCGAAAGATAATAAAAGTTTTTTTAAAAAGGTAAAGGTCGGAGATTTTAAGCGATAAGCTTTCGAGCCGAATAGTCTTCGTTCTTAACGGTAAGCGAGAAGCGTAAGCATTTTAGCTTTGTATTAAGTGAGCCTTCGGTCTTGCGCTTTAAGAGCGTTAAAAAGTAAAAACTAAAAAAGTAAGAAACGGAGTTAAAGTGCGAAAAGATAAGTAATCTTTTTATAAAATCTATTTGTTCGATAGCGGCAAAGGCTAAAAGCTGCTTAATTATATGCGCGCTATATGCCTTTTTAATAAAGCCGTCGGTCGTTAAAATACAATAAATATAATCACTTTCGTATTTAATTAGCTTTCCGTAAAAGACCCGTTTAATATACGGTTTTGTTTTTTTAATTTGGCTTTCGAAAAACTAAGCTTTAAAGTCGATAATGCGTAAATGCGAAACGAACGGTTTGCATAAGTTCGTAGCCTTAAAAAGAGTTATGCTAATAAAACTATAAAAGCGACGAAAGTAAAGATAAACGGCAATGCGGAACAGTTCCGGTTACTATTTCGCATCGAACTTAGAACTTTGCAAAAGCGTTTTTATAATATCTTAAAGTGTTCGTTCGATTTTTTCGATAGCTTTATTCATTTGTAGATTGTACGGAACGGCAAGCTTAAATCGAACGCTTGTTTCGGCTAAGTGTTTTTAAAAACGCCGAAAGACGTATTCGCTTCCGTTATCGATACGAAGACGCATAATCTTTTTTCGACGAAAAGCTTAAAAGAGTTTGAATTTATTTAATGCTTTAGACTTATACTTTATGCTATAGCACTCGACTTCTTTTGTCTTATCGTAATAAAAGTAAATGAAATAAGTAGAGCCGTCGTACCTTTTGCGAAAAGGTTTAATAGTATTTATATAAATAAGCTCGTCGAGATACCGTCTTAGATTAATGTGTCTTTTATATGCCTTTTTAGTTATTCGACCGTCGAAGCAACTCTCGCAAGCGTATAAAAAAAAAAGTATGCGTAAGTTTATATCTTTTAATAGTTTTTATATTTTTAATAAGTTTTCTTGTCTGAGATATCTAAAACGCTTATGCTAAATAGCTTAAGCTTCTTTAATAGAAAAAGCGGCTAAAGCTCGATATTAAGATCGTTATTAAAGAAGATCTAAAGTATCGAAAGTCGAAGCTAATTAAAAGAGATAAGCGTAGCGTTGTTAGTTAAAGTCGAAAGCTTTATATATATAACTTAAGCGAAGAACTCGGTCTATAAGCTAGCGTAGATCGATATTAAAGTAAAACAAGTCTTAAGCGATTCGAGCGATGAAAACTAAAGAGTTCTTGCTTAATAAAAAGAGCAAAGCACTTTTTTCGCTTAAAATCACACTTATACTTTTTTAAATAAGATTCAAATAAAAAAGAAAGTTAATATTAAAGTTCGGATAATAAATAACGTTATATAAACGAATTTAACCGAAGCTGTCGTCGTTCGTTTTAATAAGTAAAGCAATTATGCTTTTCTTTTAAAGTGAAAGCGAATGACTTTTTATTTTAAAGACGGTAATTGCTTCGCTTAAGTCGAGTAAAAAGATATTTTCGAAAAACTCTTAACGATAAAACATATGCTTAATGCAGCTATTATTAAAGATAAAAGTGTTTTCGAGTGTATTTAAAGATTAAAAAGCGAAAGCGTATAAAGTTTTTTAAAAGAATTAAAAAGAAGAATCTTTAAGAAAAGCTTTAATAAAAAGTGCGGTATGCTAAAGTAAAAGAGAAAAAAGATAAAAGAATATTGCTACGGCGGTAAGCCGTCGTGTTTTCTAAAGAGTAAAAAAGAAAAGTAAAAAATAAAGTAAAAAAGTAAAGATTATAAAAAGAATAAAAATTATTTAGTACTTAAAAGTAAAAGTAATGCCCGATAATAAAGTCCGGAGCTTTCGAAAACGTTGCTTTAATTAAAAATTGCGAGAAAAGTCAAGTCGAAAAAAAGAATAATGCTTTTAAATTAGTTTTAACTAAGATAATTTACTTTAAGTAAACTTTAATTGTTAATTTATATTAAAATCTCGAACGTCGAAAATAAATTGAAAAGTCTTATTAGCGCAGCTACGAATCGATAGCATAAAGAGAATAGCGGAAAGAGTCTTTTTAAAAGAGTCGGTATTTTTAACCGTCTTTAGTTTAGCTTGCTTAATAGCTTTGTCTTTACGCTTCTTTTCGATTCGTTTATCGAAGGCAGCTTTTAGATAAAAGTAAGCTATTACGTATTCCGGCTTAAAGTGGTAAGGCTTTTTGCAATGATTATAGATTATAATAGATTTATCTTTTTTTATAAATTTATTAGGTTTTCCGTGTGCGAAAAATGCTTTGCTTAAAAAGTATTATATTAACTGCTCTTTTTTACGAGTAAAAGTTATAAGATCAGCGAAAGCAGTTTTAGATTTATCGCCGTCGATATAATCGTTATTCGAGACTTAATTAGATTTAAAGTTTTCGTACGAAAACGGTAGCTAATTAAAATAAACCTTAATTATTTATAAAGCGGAAAGTTAAGTATTATTATCGAGAAGCTTAAGTTATTCGTTTAAGCGTATGAATTCGTTATTAAAAAAAGTGACGTCGTCGAACTCGTTAATACGAAAAGCGAGCAACGCGGATTAAAGACAGTAGAACGTCGCGACGCTTTTAAGTCGAAATCGTTCTTTTAAATCTATTAATAATAGCTTTTTAAGATCGTGCTCTTTAAAGTCTCCGACGATCGTAAGGCTTATTCCTTTTCTTTTAACGAAGTTTGCGACGGTTAGCTCGAGTCTACTACGGATAAAAGAGCAGCTTTAAGTCTAGAGTTCGTCTTACGCGTCGAGTCTTTTCTTAAACGCAGACTCCGTCTCGCTTAAAGAGCGAGTTGATCGGACTTTTATACTTTTAAAGATTTTTTCGTAAAAGTAGTTTTTATTAATAAAAGCGAAGTCGATACGTCGGAGAAACTCGACTTAGTTTTCTTCGTTAAAGAACGGAACGGCGAAAAGAACGGAAAAAGAAGTAGATTAAGTGTCCGCAATTATTCTTAGAAATCGAAGTCTTAATAAGCTTAATAAAATCCTTAACGTTAGCTAGTAGTGCTGAAGTGATATTTATCGAGATATTTTTATAAGTAATAAAAAGGTTTTTTAACTCGGAAGCCGAAGAGTAGAGTAAGTAAAGAAAGGCAAAAAGGCTTTTCGTTTAAAGTCGATAAAAAAGAAGTGTTTGAGTTTAATTCGGTATTAAAAAGTTAGAAATCAAGATTAAAGTTACGATCCTTAGCAGAATCGAAGAATTAAAAAAAGATATTAATAAGTGTTTGTGTATAGTTTATAAAAAGATTAAAGCAGTAAAAGAGAATAAAGTTAAAAAGTTAAAAGATTTTGCGAGTTTTCGTTTTCTTTAATAATACGAAAGTATCGTCCGTAAAAAAAGCCTTTTTTAAAGTCTCTCGAAGTTCTTAGTTAATTAAGCTGTCCGCAGCGTTTTGATTTATAATTAGTTTACGATAAAACAAATGAAGTTAAAAATAAAATAAAGAATCTATTAAAGTTGTCCGAGTTTTATTTTATCGTAAAAGCTTAAGCGTGCTAACGTAGTGCGGCTAAGTCGTTTAAAACATAATAGTCTCGGTAAAAGAGTTTTTAGTTAATACTAGATATAAATAAAGTATATATGCAAAGTAGATTTATAAGAAGTTAGATTTCGGAAGATTAAGGTTCATTTCGGCGTATTCCGTCGAAAAGTCTATAAATATATATATATATATATAGACTTTAAAGAAACACTATTGTTCGAGATAAGTTATTATTAAAGTGTTTTTAAAAACAAAAGGTCGTATGTTTTTAAAAAGAGATATAAAAAGTTAGCGATAAACGCAAGCAGTAAAGAGAAAGAATTATGTATATCGTTAGAAAATAGTTTTGAAAAAGAATATCGTGTTCCGTTCCGTTTTAATTTGATTTTGTCTTTGCGATAAGTTCGATGCTAAAGAAGTCGCAAAAAGTATTAATTATAGTATTTCAGCGCTAAAGAAGTCGCAGCGGAAGCTTATAACTTATTAAACGGTAATACGAAAAAAGAAGATGAATAGAAAGATTCTTGATTGATTATCTAATAAACTTAAAGAGTAGCCCTTTACTTATACATCTAGAAAGGTCTTAACACGTGATAGGTCTATCACTTGATCACATCCGACATATAACGCGTCGACGCGTCGACACGCCGCGATACGCATAAGCTCGATTTTTTTGGTTTTGTTGCATATCGCAATTTTTTTTCTATACGGCTTTATTAGCCTTAATAATAGCCCAATTAAAAAAAAAAGTAGGCCC